GGCCACCAAAGCAGAGCGCGTGAATTTAACCACTACGCCACCGGGCCAGCCGCTTCTTTCTCTTTTTTTTTAAGTGTAAGCCATCCCATAATTGAGAAATTACATAAAAATCTGGATGTTTAGATTCTTTTGAAAAACTGGACCATCTGCCAACAGTGAGGCTAAATCAGTGGCAACAATCAAGATGGAGCTGAGTAGAGACTGCTCCCTTTTTATGAAATGTGTGCTCTTCAATTACCTACAGGCCCAACGATTCCTATTATCTCCCTGACTGGAAATCAAATACCATGTGCCTTTTATGATTGTGTTAAAATGTTTAGAGTAAAGAAATACTCATCATTACCTATGTCCCTATACACACGGGTCTTAAAGGAAGAGCATGTGTATTATGCTTATATCTGTCCCCCCCTTTCTCTTTTTTCTTACCTTCTGATCCTTGTAGGCACTTGAATTGACTATCCATTCTTAGAATCCTAAATGGAAAGAAGGGATTCCTGCACTGAACTCTACACTAAACCCCTAACAATCCTGAATTTTTCAGTTGTCAGTTGTAAAAATATGAGATTTTTGTGTAAACTTCCATTTCATTGAAACATTTTCTCACTCTCATTTAGTCTTTTCCCGAATCTCTCCTAATACACTTTAGCAAGGAAGCAAAGAGACACCTCAGCTTTCTTAGTACCTAAACCAAATCTTGATTCCTGAAATGGAATACAGTTCAGATATGAATTCAAAAGACATAAAAGGCAGAAGGGAGAGAGGGAGGTAAAAATTTGTTAGTACAAATAAAATCACATAAAAATATAACTTTATTGATGCTAACAATTTTCGGCAGTTTAGAGAACACTAGTTTACAGTGAGATAGAGAACACCATGTATCCCCGTGTGAGTGTGTTTGGTTCTTCCAGGGAAAATGTGCTGTAGGTTTTCTGTTGAGCCTACCCCTACAGCTTCCAACAGAACCAACTCCATTCCGTAGTGTTCCCTTGGGATATACACCCTGTATGTATCACAGTCCAAGTACACCTGACTGACTCAGAACATGAAGTTGATCAACAAACTCAAAGGAAATACATTTAAATTTTTTGCTCAATTTTAAAACATTGGGCAAGATAAAGGATCGGATTTGAGGCAGCTTGCACATACTGACCTTCTAGGGCCCAAGAAGAGTGTGCTCTTCTGAGGCCATTAGAGGCAATAATCTGGATTCAGGTCCTGCGGGTCTTTTGTCTCCTAGAAATAAATAGTTTTTAAAAATCAATAAAGGAGACACAATCTGATAGTCCATTAGATGATAAAAATGTCAATTATTCCCATAGGTTCATGACACAAAGAGGGCTGGTAGAGATAGCAGCCACCACCCACCACACAGTAATTATAGGATATAAAAGTCATTGTTATTGGATAAATCCGTGAAATGGTGAAGAGCAAGGGCTGAGATCTGAGGAGCAGGGGGTTCCAATCTGGTGCCATTTTGTATCCATTGAGTTTCTGACTCTTGGGAAACAGGCTTACAGAGATGTGTCTCCCACTGGGGCTGGGTATGAATCTCTGCCCGGCTCTTGCTCCTAAGGTGACTCTCTCCTTCACAGTAGGTGACACAGCAGCGACAGGCTGCAGAGGACTTTCCTCTGTGTTTGGACATCGTGCCTGGGGCTGGGGAGGCACCTGCAGCCCTCCCTGAGCTCTGGAGTTCTGGGGGCTCTTTCAAACGACTTCTCCTTTGAACGTGGTCCAGACTGATGTCAGACTGGGAAGAGCAGCTCTCGTTCCAGCCAGAGCTGGCACTCAGACTTCTCAGGGGAAGAGCCAACCGCAAGGCCTTCCAGAATTTAGAGCCAGAATGTTTGGACTTTTCTCCCTTCCAGCTCACAAAAGACACAGACTCTTTCAGCTGCAGGATGCTTGGGTGTGGATGCTCAAGGGGACGGTACTCAACCACAATTAGCTTGGTGGCAATGGAGTTCTGGCACATGACACCCAGTTTAAACTCCAGCATACTGATGCTCTTCTCTGTCACATAATCTGGGCTCAGGACAACAATCATCCTTCGGCTCCTCTGAATGAAGTCAAAAACTGCTTCCACTGTATCTATAGGAAAATGGAAAGACAGGACAATGCCTAGTGAAAATGTACGTAAGTTCCAGTTCATCATTGTCCATCCTATAAAGGACAGACAAGGAATAAACACTTGAGAATATGTTAAATAATCTGCCCAGTTAAGGAATCTCATCAGTCTTACCAATGGCTGCTAAGCATCTGCTGCCTTCAAGGATGAGGCATTAACCACCTCCCAAAGCAGCTGATTTCACTCTGTTTGTAAATTATTTTTTGTTTTGAATTTCTTCTCTACAACTTTTATCTGGGGGTCTTAGATCTGACATCTTCAAATATTTGGAATATTTCATAACTATTGTGATCTCACTGTATTTTCTTCTCATCTCTAGATTAAATAACTTCAGAATTTTTATCTTATTCCCCATATGACATGGCATCAAGTCTTTCCCCCATTTTTATCATTTTCCTCTGAACAATAGTAAGTTTATAAATGTGTCTCCTAAGAGTAGTATCCTGAACAGGACTGAACACAATGCTCCAGACATACTCTGATCAGCAAAGAGCAATAGGGAATTACCACCTCCTAAGGTCCTCTATCTACAGTTATATCACTTGATACTTAAAATCTTTGGACACAACATCAGACTGTTCATAATATTAATCTTATTGTCAACCAAAACTCCCTTTTTTTATTCTTGTGTGTGTGTGTGTGTGAAGAATTGCTCTTAAAATCAATTAAAGGAGAAACAACAATGATGATGGGTAAGAATTAGTCAATTAGTTAAGACTTCTGGCAAAGTATTCGATTCTAATAGTTACTGAGGTGGATTTGGACAGATCCCAAGGAAAGTTCTTGAGGTAAATGCAGTGCTTAATTCACTGTGAGATTTAGGAGCTTAACCAATGTGATTTTCTGAAGGAAAGGAATTCCAAATGTGTAAATCACAGACATGGACAACTCTGAAAACAGGTGCTGCAGACAGACTAGGAGGTTGAATACCTATGCTTTTGGGGTCAGGGTGAAACAGTGATGGAGAGACTTTTCAGCCTGTGAAGATAAGCTTCAAGTTTGCAGTGAATTTGATCATTATGAATTTGACAGGGAATGGAGGAGCTGTTCTCCCTACCAGATTAGTTCTTTCCAATCAGTGAATTTAATGTGAATTTGAAGGGAAATTGGAAGAGACATGCGCTCAATTTTTAAGAACTTTTGACTGTTTTTTATCGAGTGCAAAATGTTTTAGAGAATTTTTGTTTCTATCCTAAAAGATAAATATAAATTTTCACTTTTCAAAGACCAAGTGTGTGTGCATGTGTGCATGCATATGTGTGTGGGTGTGTGTGTGTGTTTTGGAAACTCCTCTGTCCTCTCTAGTCCTACTCAGAATCTCATGTAGCTGCCTTTCATAAACCTGAGAACGTGAGAGTAGGAAGTCTACTGCCTCTGCTGTCTCGTGATAAATACAATATAACCTTAGGACAACACGGATAGTTTTTCAACCAAGGAACTTATGCACCCAAATTGAGTGTATGTGTGTGTTTCACTTCAAAATAGTCACTTTAGGAAAATGTACGTTTTGTCCAACGGGGATACCACTGTTGAAAATAAAACACTGTCCTAGATCCTCTAAAGAAAGAGGCTGTGTTTTTTTTCCTTTTTTAAAATTATTGGTACCCCACCCTGAAAATGTAGGATTTGCATTTGAAAGAGGGCAACACTAAAGCAACAGATATGGATTGTGGAATTCCAGACATTGAGGAATGGATGTAGGAGATGCTTCTCAGATGGGGGTTGGGCTATACCTAGGAGGCTTCACATAGTACTTTGAAACAAGCTGCCTCCTTTATGGTATATTATAATAAATTCCATATTGTCAAAACTTCATATTTGAGGATGTGAATTGTTATTACTTTTTAATGCTGAAGATTATTTGGAGAGGGAGTTGTAAATTAGGTCATTTATTCTGTTTGGCTCAAAAAAATGAGATGTGGCTATGGAATGATGAGACCAGTTTTCTTGTGTGATACTAAATTAGTTTTGAAGTCATGTTTTCTGGTCTAGAACTGTTCAATATCTCAGAATACTTCTGCCTTTAAAAGTCATATTCTCCCTGGAATTCACCCAGAAAAAAACTGGGCCTGTAATTTTATTTTTTGGCTAGGTTATTGGTGTACGAAAGAGCAGCAAGCCTTTCTCTTTTTCTCTCTCTTAAAATTTTAAGCATAGAAAGAAAAGAAGGTGCCTAATTTGAAAATGGATCTGAATTCAAATATTGGTTTCTCCATTTATCTCTGTTTTTATCTTAATATCTTCAAGTCTGAGTTCATCCATCTGTAAAATGCATATAATTAGAGCAAACTTGGGTTGGGTTGGAGCTTTGTTAAACAAATTAGAGATACCTATATGTAAATGTCTAGACATGGTAGACATTTGAATTAATCACTGATTAACTTGATTTCTAGGGCACAGAATAATACAATAATGTATGGACTAATGTTGATTGAGTCTGAAGCAATTCTTGATGGTAACTTTAGAGAATCACTTTAATATGTGGGTTTATAACAGAGTTCTAAGTTTTAAAAATTCTGTCTATTCAGTTTAAAATAGATATGGATAAAAAATACTACTGAAACAATCTCCTAGCCCATTGCTAAAGATACCTCATATTCATTGAGTAGAAACACAGAAATAAGACAGACTAGTAGCTGAACGTGTCTCTCCTATACTGTGAATTTACTTGTGTCAAAGTCCTAGTGACATCAGTAAACGACTAAAGAAAATATCTTGAGAGTTTTAACAAGGTCAGTAATAGCCAGGTAGCCATGATGTCCAAATTACTGATATTGAAACTAAATAGTCACCACTATGTTCTAGGAGGTCATTTAATATGTTCGGTGTTGGAAGCAACTTCAGACTCATCACCACTTATCCAGTGCACAAAGCCCACATGCCAAATGTCCCAAGAAGATCCATGAAATCTTTGCTTGTACACCTCTAGTAACATCGGTCATAGAATCTCCAAAGATAGTGAAATACATGATTGTTCAACTCTGCTTTAAAGTTTGTCCTAAGTGAGTAGAATCTGTTTCCTTGTAAGTTTCATCCATTGATCCTAAGTCTACTTTTTGGACGCTGGTTTGAAAGAGAAAAATTATTCAGTAGGAAAATTTTTACTAATCTAACATCTTTAGCTATAAGGACTCAATAAATATTCTTAGAATAAATGAACAAATAGGGATTTTAAAAAAATAAGCAAGAAGGACTCCCTGTCACTGTGGACTTAATATCATTAACTCAAAAGAAAATGCATTTCCAAATATTTATCACCGATTTATTTGGAATTTGTGATAGAAAGGCATCTTTGATTCAAATTATTGTCTATTAACTAAAGGCATAAAGGCAGGGCATTAATTAATTGATCTCGTTCCAAAGCAACTACCTTGGGGTTGCATTAATGCCTATAAAATGTAAGAGATTCCTGTAAGCTACCCAAGTTCCAAGTTGAACAATAAAGAATAGGCTTGAATCTTTGTTTTAAAAGAATCTCTCTCTCCTTTCTCACCCTCCTTCCTGTCTCTCTCTGCCTCTGTTATTCTCTCTTTTTTTCTCTCTCTCTGTCTCTTTCTCCACACACACACACACACACACACACACCTGGTATACTAGAACAATCCATTTTACTTAAGTAACTCTTTTACTCCCATGTAAAGAAAATGTTCTTGAGATGAAGTTCCCATTTTCCTCAGATTTCTCTCAGAAAGAGAAACTTAACTAATGTAACTTATCACAT